TGGCGATCTTATTTTTGATGGCAAAGCCAATCCCCTGAATGTGTCTCTCTTCAGGTGCCTTTGCTTTCCAAAAGAAGGTGTAGCCACCTCCATCCTCTTTTAATTGGCCCTCATCGGCCTGGCGGGTCTCACTAAGAGCCGCAAAGTCAATGTTGAGTCTTGCCAGTTCTCTGGCAATTATGGCAGAACAGGAAGTCAGTGTAATACAATGGAATACACCTTACATGCAGAAGGGAATTTTAAGAGGAGAACTAGAAGTCTGAGAGGACAATCAAATAAAATATACCTGGAAGGGCACCCATATGACAAAACGTTCAAACTATACTTTCTCAAGGTGCAGCTCTTCCTAACAGCAATTGTTTAGCTCCAAGCCCCAAAATGAACATCAGATTAAAGTCAACTGCATGCTCTCTTATCCTATGCCAGGAATGGAAATAAACCTAGAATGGATTTAAAATGAACAATGCCAACTTCATGAACAGCTTCCCAGCATGCTTCAGTGGGCCATCATCTTTGTCAAGAGCAAATATCTGCGCATCACAAGTATTTAAGTACTGGCTCCTCCCCACTCCTCAGTATCAAAAGCCAAAGTTTTAAAGTGATAGTATGGAATCAGAATACATTAAAATTACATATTGTGAGCCAAATCCTGCAGTTCATATTCAATCCTTCAGCTGGTAGCAGTAGTAAGCTTTTATCTTCTCATTGGATCCAGCCTGAACAAGCAGGCATGGTGTGTCACACACTCCCAATGTCAGGTGAAGCATGTCCCAGTCGTCCTATCTATACAAGAGTTCAAGTCACTACTTTGTATCAAATCACGTGCTTCCATTAACAATGACTATGCTGTACCAAAAGTACACACTTGTATACGTATGTGCTCACACGGAGGAGGTAGGACTAGAATCCTGGTCATTCAGCCAGTGGGAATTTGGACTGATTAAATAGCTCAGGATTCAATCTTTCAAAAACCAGGGAAGGAGGAAAATCCAGTAATAATCTACAACCATTTGAACTCTGATTATATAGGTGCTTAAACACATTGTCCAAGGAAATGAAAAATTCCAGAGCTCCTTTACGTGACAGAACAATAGCAGCTGTGACAACAGCACAGGCTTCGATGTCAGAGCAAAGAGAGAATTTCCACTGAATAATAAATGCTTCTATGAAGTCAGAGCATATGATGACCGTGTGAACAAACCAACTCGAAACACTCCTCTCTCCCAAACTTACTTTTTTTAAAATACATCTTGTAACTCAAAAATTCCACAAACAGATTATTGTAACATTTTGGAAAAAAAACGTATACTGTTTCACACATGAAGAGCATGGCTACTAAATTAATTGTTGGGACCAGCTGGAGGGCTGAGATTCTACAGTGGTGTGTGTAGTGTGTTTGAAATCCTCAGTTCAGAATTGCGGTAGGAGTGAAAAGTAGCATTCTTACCTGCTCCTCACTTGCCATTTTGCCTTTTGTCTCACGTCATCCTGAGCGGTCATTTCTGGAGGTGCCTAGACCAGTGTTTCAGATAAGGGATTCTAATCTCCAAGAAGTTAGCATTCACGGCCCGACATGGTTAAAACTACTGTGCCTATATTTGTATACTAAGTAAAACTATTTCCCCTTGTTTATTCCCCCCCCCCCCCCACTGTTCCTCAGACGTTCTTCTTAACTCCTGGAAATGTGCTGGAAATGGCCCACCTTGATTATCACTTCAAAAGGTTTTCTCTCCCCCCACCCCACTCTCCTGCTGGTAATAGCTCATCTGAAGTGATCACTCGCCTTACAATGTGTATTTTTTCATGGCCTGTGTGTATATAAATCTCCTCATTGTATTTTCCACTTTATGAATCCGATGAAGTGAGCTGTAGCTCACGAAAGCTTATGCTCAAATAAATTGGTTAGTCTCTAAGGTGCCACAAGTCCTCCTGTTCTTTTTGAGAATACAGACTAACACGGCTGCTACTCTGAAACCTATATTTGTATGTAGCTTTTTGTTCCAGCAGTACCATTTGCTCCATTAAAAAGAAAAGGGGTTATTAGCATTTTTGATGTTCAGAAGATCAATATCTATCTAATAGACTTACTTCTAGAAATGGCAGTTCAGGATGATGTGAAGCAAAGGATTAAATGACAGGTGAGTAGCCATATTCCACAGGTAGGAATACGTTCCACTAATACAAGAACTTTTATCTGAGGATTTTAAACATGTCCTCAAATATTAAATCTTACGACAACCCCGTGGAATATTTTACCCACTTGACAGATGGCTGAACTGTGCATCCAGGGATTAAGTGATCTGTCGAAAGCTAAACACTGAATCAGTGGCAAAGTCAGGAAAAGAACCCAGGAGTCCCAATGGTCAGTGCCTATTTTCACTTCTACGTAACACTCCTTTGCATAGCTAGGGATAGAAGCCAGTATTCCTGATTCCTAGAGCTCTGCTCTAACCACTAGACAATCTCTCCCATAACAGGGAAAAGAGGACAGCAGTTCTGACTCCTAGTGACCTACTTTAACCGACAAAGTATTCTTTCTACAATTGAGAATAGAAGCCAAGAGTCCTGACTGCCAATATTTTGCTCTAACCACACAATACACTCCCTCTCTGAAACAGAGTCTCAGCCTTTGCCAGTGTCCCTGTGACTTATTTGAGCTTAATCCCAGATCTGTGCAGGGTTAATGAAATTGTGAAGGGGCACAGACAAATCTGAGGTAGGAACAGAGTGTCCCTTCCTGATGGTGGGAGATGATGGAGGTGGAAGATGATGCTTTGAGGTCATGTCCAGGATCAAATTGAGCTTTAGTAAGATAAAGGATTTCAATGTGATGGATGGAAGGGCAGGGGGAAAAAAGCCCATGGTAGTCTCACATGAGGCAATTTGGTGGTCATTGACTAGGTGAAGCAGCACAGATTTCTATTTAACAAAACTGGAACATACCAGCCAGACCTGGACACAGAGAGAAGCTGAGAGCAGTATCCATGTTTCGTTAGATTGCCTTTGCGTTAGAGTCGTTTTTATGCTTTGCACACCATATTAATGGGGATTTCACCTGCATTTAAACACAGCAGTGGTGAAAAGGAGAGCTAGCCTGACAGCACTCCATACCACATGGAAGCAGCACGGTTATACTGATGCAGAACATTACAGAAGAGGCATACACACTGTGCTCTCACCTAGAGACATTATTTTTGTTCTTTCTTGTTGCTTTCACTTCATCCAAATACAAGTCAGGCTAACGGGTTGCTCTTTGTGCATGACCGTCTCAGTTCTTATTTCCTCATGATCTGCTTTTTCATCCCTAGACTAGCAATATTCCTAAATATTCCACCTTGTCTTCATCTCTATTATATTCCACAAACCACCCCACCTCTTTACAACTCTATCTATCCTTCCCACCCACACCCTGCTGCCTCTTTTATTGAGATATTCCTTGCTATCTTCCTCCCAAAGCTTTCAAGAGCTTTTCTCCTCATCCCAAGACTCTAGAATCCTCTCTGCAGAAGTATTTTCTGCTGTGTTTTCATACCCCAACTTGCTTTTCCTTGCTGCCCTGAATCTGGCACTGGTATGATTTCCAGGGTTGATGTCAGCTGAGTTACCAGAGTCCAATACATGTACTAAATGCATTAATTAGAAGTCTGTGCATTTCCATTCCAACGTAAGAGGCCCACGAGAGTCTCGTGTTGTTATTGATGAACACAGAGAAGCCCTTTGACACATCAACCCTCAGTACAATCCATGTCATGGATACAACTCCTGTCTATTCCCAGAGGATCAATCAGAAGGACACATTGTCCTCACCCTGGCACACACTGCAGTTCAAGTTTCATCTGAGGGTTTCAAAGGGCTTCAACAAATATTAACTAAGCGCCAGGGAGACAGGTCAGTGATATTAAAACTGAAGCACAGAGCAGGGAAGTGTTTTTGATTTTTAAACAATGTTTAAACATTTTAAAATGGCTCTGTAGCTGGTGTGATCGATGCTTATCACACTGGCTCCTTGTCTTCCCTTCATCCCCTATCTGTTTATTGTATCTGCCTGTTGTATACTTAAATTCTACGCTCTTCAAGGTGGTGACCATCCTTTTTATTATTTGTTTGTACCATGCTTAGCACAATGGGGTCCCGATCAGAGTTTTTAGGTGCTATGAATACAAATGAATAATAATAATAAATTACTCCAAAGGAAGCAACATGTAGTATGGAAACTCAAGTTACCCCCAAACTGTGCACCATACCTATGACATGAGTGTGACAACACAGGAATGTGTATTCAGTATATAAATTAACCTACGGAACTCATTGTTGCTGGGTATTCCTGAGACAATTCCTTGGCAAGATTCAGATCACTCTTTTAAAAAAAAAATCCTATCTACTGTAACCATGAAGTTCTCATTATCCATATAAATGTCTAATCCTCTTCAGAATTCTACCAAGCTGTTGGCCTCAATTATGTATTGTGGCAATGAGTTCCACAGGGTAATTCTAAGTTGTGTAGAGAAGAATTTCCTTTTAAACACTTCTAAATTTGCTGCCTTTCACTTTCATTGGGTGTCTGCTTGGCTCACTTGGCTCTCTTCTAGAGACAGGTTACTCCGTAAACATCCACCACAAAGATTTTTTTGCTGCTTCCTCTGAAGCATCTTGTATGAGCTGGGAATAGAATACGGGACTAGGTCAGCTCCGTGAGTCTTACCAAGAGGTAGATAAATTGGAATGTATGTAACAATTTGGTCCCGATTGGCCGGGGACAGGGCATCACAGATGCAGAGTGTGGATTAAAATTAGACACAGAATGCTGCTAAACATAGGAGGTACGTATATTTGCACCTGTCCTGCGTGAACATAATCAGCTTTGAGGCTGCTCATATTTACGGTTTATAGATGAGAGTATAACAGCGGATATATGTTTTTCCTCCCCTCTTGTAATGGGAGGCCGTCGGTCATTACGATACACAGAAAACCTTGGTCCACAAAAGACTTTTAGAACTTACTACCTGATCTGTGCTTGGAGTATCTGTTATGTCATTCATGCTTCTGCTTTGTGCATGGCCTAAAGAAAGCACAAGGGAAAGACATGGTGAGAAACGTTTAGAGGCCACAAACCTTCAATGTACAGATTCACAGGCCCATATTGCGCCCTTCACCTGCGTGGCTGACAAGCTGCTGAAAAGGAGAATGGGGTCATGAGTTGCCTCTAGTGTGGTTCATTTCTATAGTAGGCCAGAGTCTGGTCCCATTTACAACAAGATAAATCTGGTGTGGCTCACCTGGACTAACTCCAGATTTAACATGGCATAAATGTGATCAGAACAGAGTTACCCGGGTGGAGTTCACTGGATTTATACCAGTGTAACTAGGATCAGATTCTGGCCACATGTTGACACTTATCTCTTACACTGCATGGGCCAAATTTGGCCCTCACATTTGCATTTACAACTCCCGCTGAGTTAATGGGTATGGCACGGATGGATCTGGGGGGCAGAATTTTGCTCCATTTTGGGGGTCCCTTTCCCCTCTTCCTGTGACACATTGCCCCAGCTTCCGTCTTTTCCCATCAGGGCTTTCTCAAGGTCTGTGCGAAGCTGCAGTTCCAGAAGAATTCATATATGTAAAATCAGTGGATGGTTAACGAAAGCTTTGCACACAGTCCCCTTTGGGGGGTGACAAGCCACTCATCTCTCAAAGTATAACCAAGCTATCAAATTCCAGGAAACATGCAGCAAAAATCAAGATGATATATGCCACGAATGCCTGGCAATAAAGAGGAGGCAAAGGGATTAATTCTGTTACTCAAAGCTTCCCCCCCCCTCCTTTTTAAGGGCTATATAAATGTAAACTCATTTATGACATTGTTTCGATTTTAAGCAACAACCCACCCCAAGTCTCTCCTCCTCAATTTTGTGGTTTTATAATTTCCTATTTTTCAAAATATATTTCTCTTCAGAACCCAAAAGGGGAAGCCAACTGCCAGAAAATACAGGGTGAAGAATGAAATTGACTCAAACTGAAACACAGTGCTGCCAAATATTCAAAGAAAGCCATCTGAAAAAACCCCCAAAAACGATCCGCCTTCCCTAATTTCTTTTAGTTACAGTAATTTTAAATGTGACTTGTAAAAACAGCCTGTAGAACATTTTCAGACAGCCGGCCTGGTGCATAGGGACTCAGGAGGTCTAGGTTCAATCCCCAGTTTTCCTACAGAGTTCTTGCATGACCATGGCCCACCAATTTAGGACCAGAACTTTAAAAGGGAGACAGGGAGCTAACACTCTTTTTAAATCTGGCCCTTAGCGTCCTTGTGCCTTGATTCCCCATCTGGACAATAATAATTCTTCTCTTCCACTATTTGTCTGTCTCATGCATTCAGACTGTAAGCTCTTTGGGGCAGGGACTGTCTTTTACTACGTATATATACACAGCACCTAGCACAATGCTGCCCTGATCTCAGATGAAGCACATAGAAGCTACAGTAACAAGTGTGAGCTTAAAGTTGACAGGCTCCCTTTAATTACTTCCTATTATGATCTTGGAACCAAATGATTAAAAAAAAAAAAATCATTAATCAAATCCTACTGCTTGAACAGAACAGCTTAGACAGACTAGAAGAACCAGCTCAGAGCTAAGCAAGTCCTAGAGCTGGTCGCTAGCTTCCAGATGAAATTCTCCAATTCATTGAAGCTGCCATTTTTAAGATGGTGGGATTGCTAATGGGAGCAAGAGGGCATGTCTACTGCAGTACTGCTGTAGCGAGGATGCTTCCTACATCAACAGAAGCGTTTTTACCATCCATGTAGTTAATCCACCTCCTCAAGTGGTGGTAGCTAGGTTGATGGAAGAATCAGGGGTTAGGTCAACCTAGCTATGCACACAGCGGTGTGAATTTTTCACACTCGAGCATGCCACAGCTAGGTCGATCTAAATTTTAAATGTAGACCAGGGCTGAAGCAGTTTAAAAAAATTATGACCGTTATTCTATGCATTTTGATTGTTTTCTTGTTCTATCGTCTTGCGATTCTCTTCAAAGCTTTATATCTCATGTGTCACTCCACCATCATCCATAACAGGAGTATTCATCTGCCGGAGGATTGTGGGGCAATCAATGGCCAAATCCTAAGGTCCTTACTCTGTTTTTACTCATTTCTCACCCCTCTCAACAACGCTTTCCCCGACTAAGCATAACCCACTGGTGAATGTGAGTATCAAGTCCCCCGCTACAGTGATCCACAGAGGATAGGAGCTGATACAGCCACCAGAAAGGGATCCTGTAGCAGCTCATGCTGTTGTATTTGGAGGTCCCTGATTCCACCCCCAGTGTGTCGGCCAACACCCCAGCCATGACAAACACTTGGGGCGAGATTCACACAAGAATTTAGGCACCGAACGGCCACTTTAGGCACCTTAATCTCACAATCATCCCCCTGCCCCTGGGATTCACAAAAGCCCTGTTCAGCTGCCCGGTAGGTAGCTAAATGTTTGTGGGAAAAGTTCCCTAGGTGCCTGTGTATCTGAGGTCTGCAGCCTCACACTAGGCATCCGGACACCTGAGCCTCAGCGCGATGAACGAACCAGCGGAAGATGTGTTCCTCCGCCTAAATCACCTGTGGGCCCCCACCTGGGAGGCGAGCCCTGAATATACCTACCGAGCTCACACAAAACAGGGGAGGAGAGCCTCTCCCCTTGTGTCTTAGCCCCGTGGTGAGGCCGCTCACTTAGGATGTGGCAGACCTCTGGTTCAAGTCCCCCCTCCACTTGAAGTGGGAGCGGTCACCTCTCAGGGGAGTGTCCTAACCATTGAGCTATGGGATATTCTGGTGTGGGGCTGCCTCAGTCTCTCCCATCAAAATGGTTCCACTGTGAATAAATAATTAAGAGTAATTGGGCCAGAGAGTGCAAGGACGAGAATGACTCAGTAGCCTAGTGGCTGCAGCACTCGCCTGGGAAATGAGACCCCCAGTCTCCCTGCTGTTGATGAGCCACCTTCCCCTGCCCACCCTGCACCCTGGCTTCTTGCATCCTTGGTATCTCCCATTGGCTAGCTTAACTGGCACCTGGCCTCCAGCGTGCTGGCTTTTGTGAACCCCACTCTGAGGCACCTGCCTCTCCCCAATAACTGTACAGGGAGCCTGGCCACCAAACTCAGGTTTTGTGATTCGCAGTGATTTTCTAGGTGCCTACATATTAGGTCTGGCGATGCTTAGCATCACCACGCCTAAGTGCCTTTGTGAATCCAGCCCTTCAGGCTTCGCCTCGGTTTAATTCGATTTCAACGTGAATGACACCCACTATAGTCATCGGAGCAGGCTGAAAAACACAAACATGCCCCCCCTCCCCAGATATTCATCTCAGGGTGAGATTGTCACTTGTTCTGCACCCCTACGCGGCAGGATAAGGAGTTGTAAGGTACAGAGGGGGAAGTTATCTGTACCAACTATCCAGCTGTCACAGTTTGTGATGAAGTCACAACGTGGATCCTGAAGCAGTGTAACTATGCTCCGTGCACAGGGCTTGTTGCAAAGCGATTATTTGTAATTTTAAAAACCTTTAATTTTCAGCTGACACTTTGCAATAAGTTCTACCTGGCAATACACTGGAGCTATGCTTTTTGATACCTAGAATTGCCACCAATGCATAAAAATGGAAGGAGAACTACAAGGCTCAGGATAACTGCAGTGTAATTGAAATGTAGGTAAACACACCTGGGCTCCAAAAAGCAATGCAATAAAATGAACACCCAGAGGAGTAACCATAAGGGAGTCTGTAATGCAGTTCCCCTTCCGGTTATCTGAATTACTTGTAATTGAAAACCGTAGCCACAGTGTAACTATGCTGCAATTGCAACGTAAGTGCACTGTAACTACAATCACCATGGGATAAAGTGGCATCCATCTTTCTCTAAGCTCTTTCAATCATTGTAATTTTAGAGTTTACTTCGAGCAACATTTGCAGATGGAAAAGTGATTTTCAAGTAGACCATTCTTGCTTTCTCGCTCTAGGAAATAGTTGTTTACAACCGATGCCCAAAGAGATTATGTGCTTTGCCAAATGTAAATCAGAGAAATAACCAGGATTCGAACTCAGGATTACAGACTCTCAACCAGGTGTTTGTTCTGCTAGACACTGCTACCTCGCTGAACAAGTAAGTAGCTGTTGTTCAACTTACGTAAACGTCCATAATTTGCGTTCTGTCTCATTCTAAGATCTTCGGTGGAGCGGTGGAAGCTGGCCCCTGCTGCTGGGCTCCGGACAGGACTGCGATCTGAGAGGGAGAGAGCATTTAGACCACATACATGTGCACAATAAGGCTGTCAGCAAATGCTGCCAGCTTGGATCACGTGTGACCATCAATGAATACAGCTTGTCATTTTCAGGTATTGAAACTTGGGTGGCAATGGGTGAAAATTAATTGTCCAGTGCTTAACTTGGACAGATTTCACACACCTCTTGATATTCTGCAAGTTTGGCAATGAATTCAGCAGCATTTTCCACTTTTGGCTCAGGCCAAGTAATTTTTCTGTAAGGAAGGAACGGCTTTACTTCTGACAGGGTATTTTTAATATTTTCCTTGCTGTGCAGAGGGCCAATGCAAGGCTTATGCCACTACCTTAGTCCCATTTAAGCCCTATTTTGAGGCCTGAAGTAGCATTTGACTGGTGCACAGGCCCTCTCTGCACAAGGATGAACATCACACAGTGTGAATACAAGCTCTACTACTTACAACTGGCCCTCATGCTCAGATACCGCGGTTATAATTGAGGCAAGAAACTGAGCAAGACAATGGAACTTGGCATGGTGTGTGACAGACTGATAATATCCTGTATTATCCTGAAGAACCGTTCTGGAATTAAGATAAACTTCATTAAATTAAATTAAACCTCATCGAATTAGAACTAATACCTTCGGGGCACACTGTATTAAAAATGGTGTGTTATTGTGGCACTGTATGTACTTTCTCTAGTAGGGAAGGGGGGAATGCTAATAACTTCCTCTGTTATCAACCCTTTAAAGCCACCCCCTGGCTTACATGAATTCAAACTGGAGACTCCAGCAGGGACCAAGAGACAAAAAAGGGGTTTGGATAAACAGCCTTCTGCATGATTCAGTGGATGGTCTGGACCCCCGACCCATGGAGGGCCCCAATCCTTAGGGTAGGGTTGAAAGGACTGAGCCTCCTGAGGACACACAAACCTGGGAGCTTGTTCTGAGCTGAAGCTGTGCTGAACTTGTGACCACAAAGGAATCCCCGTGGGTTGGGGGTTGAAGGACAACTCTTGCCAACATCCCTGAGTGGGTGCGGGTGATGCTTGGTAAGCTTATTAGCAAGCGTCCAAGTTCCTTTATTGTTTTTAATATGATTTCTCTGTAATCCTTTTTACCTCAGAAATGCAGTAGGCTTGCATAGGAAGTGCTGTGTGGTACCTTGTAGCAATTACACCTGTTAACCATCTCGGGAGAGCAAGCAAGCAATGTCATTGGGCAACCTGCCAGTGCTGGGAATACACACAAAAAGGCCTGATTTTGCTCGTGCTTACATGGTGGGTGTAATCCATTCACTTTACTGGAGCCACTCCTGATTTACACTGATGTAAATGAGATCAGCATGAGACCCAGAGAATAGATCTTTTGATTAAGAAGGGGCCATTTTCAACACAGACGCTGTTCAAGGTAGAGCTGCATTGCAAGCATTTACGGAAACCTAGCACCTCCCCAATGTTAATTCAATGCCGCTGCCAGGGCAGGATCTTGTCTTGTGATAGAAAACTCCTCACTAGAGCTGGTCAGGAACTGGAATCTGCATTTTGCAGGAAATCCCAACATTCTGAAAAATCCCCAAAATGTCCTCAAAATGAGCATTTCAAAAAATCTTGCTAGTATCAAAAACCATTTGGCCTTTTACATTACATGAACTGTTAACTATAACATATACATAATAATCTACACACAATATATTAAAAACTATATTTTAATAGACTATAAAAGTCAAAACAAAACTGAACTTTGATTCAAAATGTTTTTGACATTGTCAAAATAAAGCATTTTTAGTTTTTCCCATTGAAAATGTTGTTGAAATTGACGCGTTCCCATGAAACATTTAGATTAAATGGCATTTTTCAATGGAAAACTGTTCTGTCAAAACATTTTTTGACCAGCTCTACTTATGACTGATATAGGCTCGAAGCAACAAGAAGAATAGCAGCTAGAACAGCAGCAATAACAATCTTCCCTGCAATTTAATAATGGGCCCAACGCAGCACCCACTGAAGTGAACGGCAAAACTTCCTTTGTGGGTAAACAATCTGCCCCTGTATTTTCCTATATGTTGTGAATATTCATTCCAAAGACTTATTTCTCCTAAATGGAAAAAGACCCACAGTGTAAACATCGATGAGGAGTAATAACCACAGCCAAAACCACCAAGGCTAGAAATCACTAAATTATGAGCAAAGTTCTGCTCTGAGCTGTTGGGTGAATCTCAGTTCTGCTACACTGCTCTCCCTAGAGGCATGGATGCCTCGCTGAAGTCAATGGAAGTATGCATGCCGGGACAGCAGGCTATCAGAGATTACAACTGATGTGAAGAAGCAAAACCTTAAGTTTGCCCTTTAGGTTAGTCTAGAGAGTGGACAACTTAAGGTCATTACAGCCAAGATTCCAAAGTGCCTCCCATTTGAACCCAAGTTAATATCCTAGACTGGAAACAGAGAAATCCCCCTTTAAAAGGGCTAAAAACAGGAAATCACAAAACAGACTGGGTTCAAACAAAAAGGAATAAGGACCTTGGGATACAGCCATGTGTGAACTGAATCTTGTGAACTCACTTGTGGTGGATGAGACCGATTTGCCAATGTCTGCCAAGGATCGGTGGATCGGCTTCTTGGTCTGGTGGCGATGTTTCCTCAGGAGCACGTAACTGATTTTCTCTCTCAGCTCCGGCCTGAGCAAACCATCCTCTATCTGCTTTTCAATAACATCATCTGAAAGAAGGATAGTGGAAGCGCACGCGTGACTTGCTGGGCTGCGGCATGGAAAGTTCTGTTGCAAAAAAAAAAAAAAAAAGCTCCTCCTTGCAAACCCTAAAACTGCATCATATGCCAAAAACTCAGACTTTAAGGTCACGAGGGACCATCATGATCATCCAGTCTGACCTCCTGCACATCGCAGGCCACACAACCTGACCCCCCACTCCTGTAACAGACCCCTCACCTCTGGCTGAGTGACTGACGTCCTCAAATAATAATTTAAAGATGTCAAATTACAGAGAATCCTCCATTTACACTAGTTTAAACCTGCAAGTGACCCATGCTCCATGCTGCAGAGGAAGATGAACCACACCCCCCGCCCCCCAGAGTCTGTCAAGCTGATGCAGGGGAAAATTCCTTCCTGACCCCAAATATGACAATCAGTTAGACATGTTGGCGAGACCCACCAGCCAGACACCTGGGAAGGAATTCTCTGCAGTAACTCAGAGCCCTCCCCATGTAGCATCCCATCTCCAGCTACTGGAGATATTTGCTGCTAGTAGTCACAGATTGGCTCCATGCCATCGTAGGAAGTCTCATCATACAAACTCTACATGGTCTGTAGAGGCTATATGGTGGGTTCAGATCATAATAGACAAGTTCACGCTCATTCTTTACTCAGAAAAAAATTCCAGTTAATATCCTTGCTTCCCCTGGGGTTTTGCCTGTAGAATGGAGTGTTGAACCAGGGCCATATTACTTTCCTTTTCTTAACGGTGTAGTGCCCAATCCCTGTTTGCCCTGTACCTTCTGTCATCATTTACACCCGTGTGGTATCTGTGTAAAATGCAGCCATTCAGGTATGTCAGGGTGTTGCATTAACTTTGCACAGGTGTGAAATGATGGCACACAAGGAGCATGGTAGTGAAGAATCAAGCCCATGCTGCCTAACAGGCCAACTCCTGCAGTTCTTCTTGGGCAGGGAAAACTCCCACCATTGGGAAGAATCAAAGCTACATGATTTGGCTCTAAACTGTCAAAACAAGCAATATGCTCTCTCCGAGATGCTCATCATCACCACAATATCTGGGCATCAGTGAGATCAGCAGCGATTCACAGAAGGGACTATGATGTTTTTATATGATAAAAACCCATCCCAGCATGCAGTGCATATTATACACACACACACACAAACACACACCCCTTCGAAGCAGTTACTATGCCAAGCTAATTTGAATGGGTTGGTGATGCTGATTTAGCTGCCTTAGGTCTTCATCTATATGCAGACTTGCACAGAAATAACTAAATCAGTTTGGACAAACCGGGTAGAATTAGTGGGGGAAGCAAAAGTGGATGGGAATCTGGGGGGCAGTGACCATGAGTTGGTTGAGTTCAGGATCCTGACACAGGGAAGAAAGGTAAGCAGCACGATACGGACCCTGGACTTCAGGAAAGCAGACTTCGACTCCCTCAGGGAACGGATGGCCAGGATCCCCTGGGGGACTAACTTGAAGGGGAAAGGAGTCCAGGAGAGCTGGCTGTATTTCAAGGAATCCCTGTTGAGGTTACAGGGACAAACCATCCCGATGAGTCGAAAGAATAGTAAATATGGCAGGCGACCAGCTTGGCTTAATGGTGAAATCTTAGCGGATCTTAAACATAAAAAAGAAGCTTACAAGAAGTGGAAGGTTGGACATATGACCAGGGAAGAGTATAAAAATATTGCTAGGGCATGTAGGAATGTTATCAGGAGGGCCAAATCGCACCTGGAGCTGCAGCTAGCCAGAGATGTCAAGAGTAACAAGAAGGGTTTCTTCAGGTATGTTGGCAACAAGAAGAAAGCCAAGGAATGTGTGGGCCCCTTACTGAATGAGGGAGGCAAACTAGTGACAGAGGATGTGGAAAAAGCTAATGTACTCAATGCTTTTTTTGCCTCTGTTTTCACTAACAAGGTCAGCTCCCAGACTGCTACGCTGGGCATCACAAAATGGGGAAGAGATGGCCAGCCCTCTGTGGAGATAGAGGTGGTTAGGGACTTTTTAGAAAAGCTGGACGTGCACAAGTCCATGGGGCCGGACGAGTTGCATCCGAGAGTGCTGAAGGAACTGGCAGCTGTGATTGCAGAGCCATTGGCCATTATCTTTGAAAACTCGTGGCGAACCGGGGAAGTCCCGGATGACTGGAAAAAGGCTAATGTAGTGCCAATCTTTAAAAAAGGGAAGAAGGAGGATCCTGGGAACTACAGGCCAGTCAGCCTCACTTCAGTCCCTGGAAAAATCATGGAGCAGGTCCTCAAAGAATCAATCCTGAAGCACTTGCATGAGAGGAAAGTGATCAGGAACAGCCAGCATGGATTCACCAAGGGAAGGTCATGCCTGACTAATCTAATCGCCTTCTATGATGAGATTACTGGTTCTGTGGATGAAGGGAAAGCAGTGGATGTATTGTTTCTTGACTTTAGCAAAGCTTTTGACACGGTCTCCCACAGTATTCTTGTCAGCAAGTTAAGGAAGTATGGGCTGGATGAATGCACTACAAGGTGGGTAGAAAGCTGGCTAGATTGTCGGGCTCAACGGGTAGTGATCAATGGCTCCATGTCTAGTTGGCAGCCGGTATCAAGTGGAGTGCCCCAAGGGTCGGTCCTGGGGCCGGTTTTGTTCAATATCTTCATAAATGATCTGGAGGATGGTGTGGATTGCACTCTCAGCAAATTTGCGGATGATACTAAACTGGGAGGAGTGGTAGATACACTGGAGGGGAGGGATAGGATACAGAAGGACCTAGACAAATTGGAGGATTGGGCCAAAAGAAATCTGATGAGGTTCAATAAGGATAAGTGCAGGGTCCTGCACTTAGGACGGAAGAACCCAATGCACAGCTACAGACTAGGGACCGAATGGCTAGGCAGCAGTTCTGCGGAAAAGGACCTAGGGGTGACAGTGGACGAGAAGCTGGATATGAGTCAGCAGTGTGCCCTTGTTGCCAAGAAGGCCAATGGCATTTTGGGATGTATAAGTAGGGGCATAGTGAGCAGATCGAGGGACGTGATCGTTCCCCTCTATTCGACATTGGTGAGGCCTCATCTGGAGTACTGTGTCCAGTTTTGGGCCCCACACTTCAAGAAGGATGTGGATAAATTGGAGAGAGTCCAGCGAAGGGCAACAAAAATGATTAGGGGTCTGGAACATATGAGTTATGAGGAGAGGCTGAGGGAGCTGGGATTGTTTAGCCTGCAGAAGAGAAGAATGAGGGGGGATTTGATAGCTGTTTTCAACTACCTGAAAGGGGGTTCCAAAGAGGATGGCTCTAGACTGTTCTCAATGGTATCAGATGACAGAACGAGGAGTAATGGTCTCAAGTTGCAGTGGGGGAGGTTTAGATTGGATATTAGGAAAAACTTTTTCACTATGAGGGTGGTGAAACACTGGAATGCGTTACCTAGGGAGGTGGTAGAATCTCCTTTCTTAGAGGTTTTTAAGGTCAGGCTTGACAAAGCCCTGGCTGGGATGATTTAACTGGGAATTGGTCCTGCTTTGAGCAGGGGGTTGGACTAGATGACCTTCTGGGGTCCCTTCCAACCCTTATATTCTATGATTCTATGATTCTATGACTCTCTCCTTTTGTTATTTCAGTGCAGGTCTGTGGGTAGACCAGCCTTTATATGTACTGAGAGTGACCTCTTCTGATACTGTAAATTAATTCTGCTGTCCTCTCTTTACCCCAGTGTAAATTCCACTGATTTCTACAGAGTTGCTTATTATGGCACATTAGAATCAGGCCCACAAAGTTAAATTAAAAAGTACATAAAAGGCACATCATACCAGAGATAATAAATCAAACAAACAAACAAACAGAGAGATGATTAATGAATAAATAAGAATGGCAAACCTCTACCGAGCTCCTCACTAAGCATGTAACAGTGCAGCAATTTGAGCCAACATTTTAACATATGCAGTGGGTTGTTACTTTGAAAGGCTGACTACTACACTGCCTTTTAAAAAGTGTAGTTATACTCTGAAAAGGGACAATAAAAAGGAAGCTCTCGAGTTCTAAATGTATTGAGCTTTCTCTCATTAACTTGCAGAGCAAATCCGCTGAGTTCATGAGTCACTTGCTGTATACAGAATCACAGAAACGACTGAGAAGTCATCAAGTCCAGCCACTTGTGCTGAGGTAGGACCAAGTAAACCTAGACCATCCTTGATGGGTGTTTGTCCAACCTGTTCTTCAAAACTTCTGTGATGGGGATTCCACAACAGAAGCCTTGGAAGCCTATTCCAGAGTTTAACTAGAGTTAGAAAGTTTTTCCTAATGTCTAACCTAAATCTCTCTTGTTGCAGATTAAGCCCATTATTTCATGTCCTAACTTCAGTGGACATGGAGAACAACTGATCACTGTCCTCTTTATAGCTGCCATGAACATATTTGAAGATTTATCTGGTTCCCCACTTGCCTTCTTTTCCCAAGACTAAACACGACCAGTTGTTTTAACCTTTCCTCACAGGTCAGGTTTTTAAAAACTTTTAGTGTATTTATATGTAATGACGTTTGTACGTAACTATATATAATCAAAGGAGAAAAATAAATAAGTAAATGGATGCACAGAGATTAGAAATCAATTTTGTTTTCATTTCTCAACTGTACCACATAGCCTGCTTGACAATGGTTACATTCTCTCTGGCTTATATTACGTAAGGCATAATGAAATTAACATTCATCAATAAAAATGAAAAAAGTGAAACCCAGCATAAGGCACTGTTAGTTTTGACGTAATACTGCATCCGCTCTTTTCAGCTTTTCTTCACCTATCAGGTTTATATAATCTCAGGATGCTTTACAAACATTAACTAGAGCCTGACTAACACCTACAGGTCTCAGAATAGAAGCCAGGAGTCCCAGCTCCAACCACTAGTCAGAGCTTCCTCGACACACAAGGGGTTTTTTGAGCCATAAGCATAAGACCCACCAGAGAGACAAGGTGGGTGCGGTGAGATCCTATCTAATATTTGGGGACTGACATGGCTACAGTTACACTGCGTAATACCCACCAGGTAACAGAAACTAATCTAGCAACAACCTCATCATCATCATCCTTTCATTGCCTAATGTCATATTGGATGGATTGCAGTGGAGCGATATGTGTTAAAGAACCTCACTGCACCTGACTGCAAAGGTGTAAATGTGTAAACACAGAAAAGTGGGAGTCAAATGCAAGCATGTCAGAGCAGCAGTGATTTACAGTTACAGTGCATAATCGACTTTAGGTACGTATCTGGCCCCCAGATGCTCGAAGGTGTTTAGGGATTTAACTCCCATTGGTTTCAATAAAAGTCAGGAGAGCTCAGTACCTTTAAGGATCGGGGCTTATCCACTTCACAAACTTTAACGTATTTAGCCTCAACACCTCTGTGGGGTGGGACGGGGCAGCACTGTTATCCCTACTTTCCAGATAAGGAACTGAGGCCCCGAGAGACTAAGGCCCCCGATTTTTAAACAGAATTCAGGCATTGCTGCGCTAAGCATTGCAATACTTAATTGATGTAGGAACCTCATTTTCAAAAGGGATTTAGGCACTTAGGAGCCTACATAATTTGGATATTGGCTCCTAATCCCTTTTGAAAATGAGACAAGGGCTCCTAAATCAGTTTGGTGTTGCAATGCTGAGTGCGTATCATTACAAATCTGGGCCTAAGTGAGTGCCCAGGGCCACACAGGAAGACTGTGGCAGATCAGGGAACTGAACTCCTCTCTCCCCAAGCCTACCCTAGTGGTCTAACATCCTCTCACACAGAATAAATTTATTGTCCATCACCGTAGCCACTTGCCCACATCGTCTTATTATTTACATTACACTATCTTACTATTTACGCAACTGAATGACCACACAAGTGGAGAATCAGGCTCGATATGGTCAGTTACACTGTGCGCCATTTGACGTGCCATTAACCCTCCCTTCCACCATGAGTGACACATTCCTCTAGTTCTAGGTCAGGCTAGAGTACCAATGAAACCACCTCAAGAAAACCCCACCGCTGTTTGTATTGAGAGGTTAATACCGATGATCTGTGGTAGGGAGTAGCCGTCTAAGTCTAGTAGCACCGTCCCTGTCTGTAGACACGTGCGTAGTTCAAACAGGCTGTGCAAAGATAACGTTGACACATGAGGTTTGCTCCATCTCTCCCCTCCTTCTTCCACCTTTTCTTCGAACTTTATCCACCTGAAACAACAAAAGCCACAGGTGTGATCGGTACAGGGTACAAATGCACAGCTGTAAATTGCACATCTGTCCAAAATGTGCACCAATCAGGTGATCAGGTACCAAGGTGATGGGTACAATGTAAGAACTTGAACAGAATAGATCTGTCACAGGGCAGCTGCTGTACAGCCTCTGTGCATTTTACAGTTAGATATATTTATCAGCAATAATCTGGATGAGTAAGAGCGGAGGTGCCTGGAGGAGCCCTGGGCTGGAACAGCTGAGGACTGAGAGGCATTGGCAGAGCATGGTTCAGGGCTGGGATATCTAGAAGAGTCCTAGGTCAGGGTGGTGGTGCATTGGCAAAGCTTCATAGCTAGAGGAATCTTACAAGAGCTTTATCAGCACTAATGTTATATGAAGCACTCCTTTCATGAGTCCAATTCACACATGGTTTTAAATGACCTTTTTTATTAAAGGGAGGTAATGCTTCACATGAACATAGATAGCACTTTCCATCTGCCAAGCGCTTTACGAGCTTTCACCAATTCACCCTCGGACCATCTCTGTAATGTATGTCTGCATACTACAGATGAGGAAGTGGAGGCAGAGAGGTTAAGTTATTTGCCTAAAGTCACATCATCTGAAAGAGGAACAGAACCTGCTGGGTTGGTAAATCTCACTGCTGGGATCAGGCCCTCCCCCCTCCTCTTTCTCTCTCAACATAATACTTATGTTGCTATGAAAAAAAATTGATTGTAAAGTCTTCAAGGCAGGGAAAGCATTTTATTGGTGAAGTGCCATGTGCATCTATGAACTAATAATGTGCTTATGCATACAGCGAACAAATACTAAAAGGACGGTGTCCCAGCGTGCCTGGAGCAAGGTGTCTGATGAGCTCTTTGCTCATCCTTTAACAATTAATGTTCAACCCCCAAAATTGGTCACCTGAGCCCTTAAACTTCAAGACAAAACCACTAGTTTATTGGACCCCTTCAGCTGAAGGTGCAGTTAGATGGTTAGGTTCTGAGGGCCTGGAGTTCTGGGTTAGGGCTTGGGGAGCTCCCCTCCTCTCCCAGCTTCATCCAGCACTGACCCCTACAAAGAAGCAAGCAAGCCTTCTTATATCGCCTGGTGGGTCCTGATTGGCTAATAACTCCTCCCACTCCTCTTCTAGCCCCTGGAGGACCAAGTCTTGTTGGTTCGGCAGGTACCAGAACCTGAATGGCAGTGTTCTGAGTTCTAACTCATTGCCCCTCTTTCCCAGCCAACGGTTTTCCTTTGGGTGGAGCGTGTTAGGGTGGTGATGCTGCATTGTGGGCAAAAAAGGCCTGGTACATCTGTCGTGGTAGGACACTGGAAAATTCATTTAATCAGCTTGATAGTGATCAGAGTTCCCAAAACCTTGACCTGCTCTATTCATTTCAGGGATGGGTTAATTACATTTTGGCTGCGTTATGTGTGTGAAGGATTTCAGCATCAGGAAAATGTGAAATGGCAAATGAGAGGATGCAGCATGCTGACTAAGCAGTTTCATGCCCGGTTATGTAGCATTTATAACACACCTCCACCATTCAAGGTGATTAAAGCGCTTTTGAGACATTTGTTAATTAACTCTATTGGGGCGATTAGACCATTTTTCAGTGACTAAACTGGGATGCTGAGCTAACCTGACGTCACTCTCAGTGGCAGAAAAGAACTTAGGAGCTCTCCCTCCCCGTCCACTGCTCCAACCTCTAGACCCACAATCCCTTCCGAGATCTGGGAACAGACCACAGAAGTCTTGACTTCCAGACCCTTCTCCAACTATTAGACCATGCTCTTCTACTAGACCTGAGAAAGGAACCCCAGAGTCCGGGCTTCCTGCTCCAATCACTAGACAACACTCTCTCCCTTTTAAAAAACAAAAACAAAACTCTTCTGCTTTTAATGTTCTGCATCAGCTTCTTAACATTCACCATGAAGAGGAACACAAATAAATGAATGAGAGCAGATTTCTGCAGGCTCCCTGAGAATATGACTCGTGCTCCAGTTAAGCACAAGTAATTCTCGGCAACGCGCCTGTATTTATTTTGGAAATAAAGCTGCTGTTCCTTTAAATCAGGTTTGCAGAGACCCAACTCCACGAATTCTCATGGATTAGTCAGTCTAGGGCTTAACCTGGCAGCTTTTAACTGGTACAACTTGGATTTTAGCTCATGTCACTGCAGTGGGGACAGAGGGAAAGAACAGAGGACAACAGGGGCTTTTTTAAAAAAAAAAAAAAAATTAGCAACAGAGCATATGCTAATTCTGCCTGCAAATACTGCAAACAGCTGTGGATTATCCAGGCTATGGTCAGGGACATACATACCTGGTGGTTCCTCCTCCCCTTTAGGTTGGCATTTACCTGGATTAGAGATCCAAACTACAGAGGGGAGGCAGATTGACACACTTCAATGCTTTTTTCCCAGTGGGAGAACTATTTAGATATTCTTTCCCACTGCAGCTTTGCTGCTCATTTAGGATTCTGGGATTCATTGCTCTTGAAGCCGGGAGGTTGAGGGGGACGACACCCAGGATTCCTCCTGGTTAACAGAGTAAAGCAGCATTCGCCCATTTAGCGGCAAAGAAAGGAAACAGATTCTGGGTGCTGTAAGTCTGATTCAGGGCAAGGCAACAGGCTACTGTTACCTCACCCAGATTTTGCACAAAGTGTTTGAAGAAATATGGTGGCTATTGTCCTGTACTACTATTGTCGTATGATGGACTATGAAGGCTGATTGACAAACAAAAGGCCATTAATGCAGCCAGAGAAGGAGACAGTGTAATGTAGTGGTTAGAGCACATGCGGTTTCTAGTCTCAGCTCGAACATGGACTTAATGTGTGATCTGGGCAAGCCACAAATGGCCTCTGGAGGCCTCAGTTTTCTGTGCCAAACCTGACACACAACAGGGCCTGCATTAGGAAGTGCTGCGCACCCAAGACCGTGAGAGCTGCGGGAGTGTAACACCTCTGATAATCAGGCTCAAGTTGGGTTGAGCAATCTGAAGTAATCCTAAAAAGAAAAAAAAAGTGGCCCTTAAACTCTCTGGTGCCTCAGGTTCCCCTCCTGTCAGAGGGCAACCATAATAGCTACTCACCTTTGGAAGGCACTTGGAGATCTTTGAATGAAAAATGATACATGAACACAAAATGGTGCTTGTTAAAACTAGAGAAAGGCAATCAGTGAATAGTATTTTAAATAAATACATAAAGCTGGGAGGGCGCTATACTGGAACCGAGTCAGGAGATACTGCAGAGCTTTATTTAGGAGAAATTCAAGGAATATTTTAAAGAGCATTAATGTGAGATTCATTTTTCAGGAAGGAAAAAGTCCTGGTTTGTTACATTTTTCTTCCTACCACAATGTAGCTCCTTTCACCCACTGATCTCAAAACTCTTTACAGATATTCGTTAATAAACCCTCACCATAGGTCAGCTTTAGCTCTCCTGTACTATTTACAACGTATCACTGTCCTGTGTCTTTCACACTATAGCAGAGGTGGGCAAACTAAGGCCCGCAGGCCACATTTGGACCACGGAACCGTCCTGCCTGGCCCTTGAGCTTCTGGCCAGGGAGGCTAGCCCCCGGCCCCACCCCTACTGTCCCCTCCCCTCGCAGCCACACGATAGCGTGAGCAGCTCAAACTTATTGTCGCTTGTGAGCGGAGGCAGGATTTCACTTCAGATCACAAAGTTAAAAGGCTTGTGTCTTCACCCCCCCCCCCACACACACACAGTCCAGTATCCTGCCTATGGTTCTGTGAGAATTTACACCAGATGACGATCTGCTCACTACTGCTTCAAAGGAAGAAGACACCCCCTAATGCCCCTTTACAAGCTGCAGTACTCACGGAGATGAGTGAGATTCCACCACCCCATCCTTAGAGGTTTTTAAGGCCCAGCTTGACAAAGCCCTGGCTGGGATGATTTAGTTGGGGTTGGTCCTGCTTTGAGCAGGGGGCTGGACTCGATGACCTCCTGAGGTCTCTTCCAACCCTAATCTTCTATGAGAAAAATTCCTTCCTGACCCCTGCACTGAAGCATGAGTTCCTGCTACCTTTGGCCTATTATGTTTTATCATTTGTGTGACAGTTGCACCTAGAGGCCCCAAGTGAGGTCAGGGGCCCATTGCGCTAGGTGCTGTACAAACACACCCTGAAGGTAGTCCCTGCCCCAAACAGTTTATAATCTGAACAGACTTAGTGTGACCAGGTGTCCAGTTTTCGACCAGAATGCTGGTCCCAAGCCAGAGCCCTCATCCCCCCCCCCACCACACCTCAAACCCCTGCCTCAACCCGCAGCCCCCTCCCACATTCCGAATCTCTTGGCCCCACCCCCCAACCTGGAGCTCAAACCCCTCATCCCCAGCCCCACCCCAGAGCCCACACCCCCAGCCGTAGCCCTCACCCCCTTCCGCACCCCAACTACCTGCCCCAGCCTGGAGCCCCCTCCCGCACCCTGAACCCCTCAGCCTTAGCCCCACCCCAGAGCCCACACCCCCCGTTAGAGACCTCGCCTCCTCCCACACCCCAACCCCCTCCCTAAGCCCAGTGAAAGGGAGTGAGGGTGGGGGAGAGTGAGCCACCAAGGGAGGAGGAATGTAGTGAGCGAGGGGCGGGGCCTCAGGGAGGGTGGAGCTAGAGCGCTCGGTTTGCTGAGATTAGAAAGTTGGCAACCTTAAACAGACTAGACACCGTCACCACAGCAAGTGTAATTTACAAGCATCGTTATCCCAGGCGTGGCAATCTAGCATGCAATGCCTCACCCTTGGCCTTTTTGCGCAGTCAGCTTTCGCCCCATGTTAGACTCCCGGAGCCAAGCCCACACTGTCTTGACGGCTGCTTGGCTCTGAAGATGAAGTTTCCTGTTTAGGCTTGCCAAGGTTTTATTTGCAGGTAGTGCTCACGCAGCGAAGGAGCTGGCTCCCCGCAGCTAAAGAGGCTGTGAATTCCTGACCCAAGGAGAGAGGAAACACAGAGCCTGCAATTCGGCAGCT